CAAGCCGACACATCCGACCGGTCTTCCGATCAACATGCCATCCAACACAGGGAAGGTGCGCTACATGTACATATATATCTGACGTCAGCTTTCCTAAATTAATTTAACCAAGACTATTGCTATGCGTGACGTGACGGTGATGTGATGGGCGTTGAGACGATTTGGTCTCAGATTACGTCCGATAACCCCATTTGGACAATTCTTCGGCAGCCACGATCAATCGTTGGACGATGCAAGCGTGTGCTTGAAAGGCTGGTCTTTCCCAGGCGGCATCGTCTCTTCTATGAATGTGAACACGTTCGCAGTCTCTAGGCCACAGCTTACTGCTTTCATGATCCCATCACAGGAAACTGTGCTAGCTGGGTGATTTAGGAGCTCGATGGAATTTACTCCATCACGTTTGGTAGTCTGGTGCTTGAGCGAGAAAACCTCGAGAAAAGAGACAAAAGACATCGGATTAATTTCGGCTGTATAGCAGATGAACTAATGGAAAAAAGAACGCTGAGGCTCAGTTGACTATAACAGAGTGCAAATGAAATCTCAGTGAAGTATTACAAAAGGTAGAATTGTTTGTTAGGACCTGATCGTCCTAGCAGGGACAGTACACTTTTTAATTCCTGCCTCGTCTTACATTGATTCGTTGTACGCTGGAGACACTTCGGAGACGCCGATGGTCAAACACTGACAGCCTTCGTACATCCTCTGCGCGGGGCGAGATGGCTCAAGTGGTTAGAGCGCGAATTTACTGAACGGAAGGTCCGTGGTTCGAACCCGACCTCTGCCTCTCGACTTCCCCTGTCCAGGCTTGGGCGACCTGGCAGTATCCCAGCCCTGGTGAAACTTTCGAGTGGCATGGCAGTTAGGCACTTAGAGGGTGCTACAGATGAAAGCTTTTTTTGAAGCCATATGTGCAGCGTTTCCAACCAGGCTCAGTGGTGATCACACGAACCCCCAGTAGCACTGGCAGCACTAAACGTTTCGCAATCTCTTCCATATCCCTCAGATAGGTCAAGGGCTAGTCACCTCTCTGCTTCCGCCACTCTGAACCGGGCACGGTAAACAGCTCTCTTTTCGGCTAACGGTGGTTCGGCATACGCAATGCATGACCTAATCAACACAGATTATGGTGCTAGACATATTCTTCAATGGAAGTTCCCGTTGCACAACCGAAAACTCAATTTCTTATTGCCCCGTTACGGATTCTCCAATCCACACGAGCTGTGGTCCTCAGACAACAATTATCGAACACCTGATGCAGTCTCGGTTGCGCTGCTAGAACAGGCCAAGTCTTGCGGCCGTACAACAAAAAGGATTCATACTGTAGCCTGCTGCACACGTACCTTGAGATTTAGGTATACATTGCTTTGACGCATTAAGTAGCTTAAATTAGCGAACGTGATCCGAGCCTTGGAGACTGGTGAATTGACCTCATCTGTTACACTGCAATTGGAACTAATACAACCTCCAAGATACGCTCCACAACATCAAATGCGCCTCCCTGGATAAATCCACTAACAATTGTTAGTGGCGTGCTCAGTGACTGCATGTCCAGGAGCGTGACCTTACGCTTTGTGAGTGATAAGTGCATACCAAAGGATGGGATGACTTGGGTCAGTTCATCCAAAAACACTTGCGCCTTCTCTTCCTCTTCGAAGATGAGAACAATGTTTGCATATTCCAGGTCGACACGGCATCTACTCGGTCAAAGTATCATCTCCACCAGCATCATACACCAGCAGTACGTACTGGTGCCTAAATGATATACACGTATGAGGGAAGAAAGCCTTGGCGGAGGGTGGGATGAAAAGAGGAGGATAGGGACTTAGTGTGATGGAGCATTGTGTCCTCAAAGGAAACCATCAGCGTTAACCCACCTGGGCATCATAGCGAAAGCGCCTTCAGCGGGAATGACCCAGCGTCCTTTGCAAATCTCATTTGAAATAATCACACAGCACGACGACATTAGCTATGCCGTCCAACCGGGAAATGACGCCAACAGTCTCGTTACGAGCAGGTTATCACACTCACTAGAAACGTGTTTCGAAGACGGGCGCTTTCACCGACTCTCCATAGTTGTCTGGGACACTACTTTTCCCAAATGCAGGCAAACAGATTAGACAAGTACTGACTGAGAACTTCACCTCCATCTCTGTACAATGCGGGTGGGAGGTCATCCGGAGCAGAAATTAAATGGCACTTCAGAGAACATATGCAATCATAAACCTCCGAAGCCGTATGGGCCCTTCAGTGTTCTGCTTCAGCTGTAGGCTCCAAATGAGTGGCAGCTGTTGGCAACGATAACCGTTGTTCAAAGTATTCGGCCCAACGGTCGAGGCGTTCCTACTTTAAGATGGTCGCCCCCTGACTCTGGACACGTACTGAGTCCAATCCTGGTTGACCACCTAATTAAGTTACAAATGCGCTAAGCCTACCCACTTGTACATTCATCCGGTAACCAAAACGGTTATACGGGGGCTGGGTTGCTGCCCCCGACCTAAAGCTGCCACCTTGACGTGGTGGTCGGGCTTGAGTGCTGCAGCGATCCCGCAGGCTACACTGGCTGAAACTTCGTTCCACAAGGTGCAACCATGCCAGGAAGGCCAAAGGGGAGCAGCGAGACCCCGCACTACGAGTAATCGTGCTACGAGGCGGTCTGGGGGTAAAGTCGTACTGTCCTCTGCGACAGGAGTGTGAAGACAGTAAGGTGTTTCCCCCAGGCGACCAGCATGTCCATATTTATGGAAGCAGCGATGCTGCCTTCCCCTGAGGAAGGACGGGTTAGAAAAGGTCGGCCCCAAAAACCGCACACTCCGA